TTGCTTCAAGGGTAATTAGATCTTATCTTTTCTCTTGAATTCTCATTTATGAAAAACATATCAATGTTCATGGCTTAAGATACTTGGAAGAAGTTTTGTTTTTGAATTTAAACAACCACCTTAGACTTCCGCTGCGATTAATTTGATTAAATGCATGTTTAATATTCAAATGAACTTTGGAAAAATGTTTTGAAATTCCTACAGATTCATCTACAGGCAGCTAAGAGAGCACTTCGATACTTAAAAGGGACTGTGAACTATGGAATTCATTATAAGAGAGAAGGAGATTATAAGAAAGGAGGAGATGGTGAGTTGTTGGCGTTTACAGACAGTGACTATGCTGGAGATATGGAAGACAGGAAGAGTACATCTGGTTACGTGTTTTTAATGAGTTCAGGTGCTGTTTCATGGTGTTCAAAAAAGCAGCCAATTGTGACTTTATCAACCACAGAAGCTGAGTTTGTGGCAGCTGCAGTCTGTGCTTGTCAAGGAGTATGGATGAAAAGAATATTAAAGGAGCTGGGACATTCTGATGGAGGCTGTACTACTGTGATGTGTGACAACAGTTCAACCATCAAATTGTCTAAAAATCCAGTCATGCATGGTCGCAGCAAGCATATTGATGTAAGGTTTCATTTCTTAAGGAATCTTACTAAGGAGGGTACAATTGAATTAGTTCATTGTGGGAGTCAAGATCAGGTGGCAGACATAATGACCAAACCATTGAAGCTTGAAGTTTTTCAGAAGCTTCGGAAGTTGCTGGGAGTATGTGAAATTTCTGGTATAAACTAATTGCTTCACAGCATTTCTATTTAAACCCCACACTTCTCTTAGTTCACCCCAACTTTTAATTTAAATTTTCACAATTTCTAAGTAAACCCCACTATTTTCCCAAACTACCCTTAAATACACCCCAAGCTGAAAAAATAAAAAATTAAAAAAGATTTTCTATTTAAACCCCACAATTAAGCAATGAATTTCAGTTAAGCAATGCTTTTATATTAGATGAAATACACGATTAATCTCCATGAGCTTCTGGAAAGCATTGGGATATTTAAATGCAACCAATACTACCACCATCACCAAAGAGGATTGCATAATAAGCCTACCCTTCCCTTGTAAGGCCATGGCCTAATGCCCTCAGTTCCTACGAGTAATTGAAAGAGAGAGGAATGAATGGTTATGGTAGCTACGTATACTACAAGAAGTATGTTAGAAATGTGCCCTAAGAGCCAATACATTTGATGTAATCTCCTTAGAATACATTTCGTATATGATAAATAAAGGGCAATATTAT